GACTGTGGGGAGAGGAAAGGAGGAGGTGGAGGGGAAGGGAATGGGGAGGGAGGGCGCGGGGAGGGATCCTGGCGTCAGAGTGAGTGCAAGAAGCAAATGCAGAAGCGGGAGTGGAAGGCAGAGAGAGGCCCCGGAGGCGGAGGGGTGTGCGCAGGAGGGAAATGAAGTGCGACGCGCCAGCCCGCGCTCGCTCAAACACTCCAGGGCACAGAAATGATCGCGTCTTCTTGGAAAATCCATATTCATGAGGGAGACGCCCAAAGTCACTTCCACCAGCAAAAGTGCCGAGGGCTCGTCCCGACGCGGAGCCGGCAGCCAGGCCCCCCGCGCTCACCCAGGACTGGACCCCGATCCCAGGGCTGGGGACCAGGCCCTCAGTGCCCCAGGGGAGATGAGTTCAACTGTTACCCCTCTTCACAAGCTTTCCTCCCAACTCCCCTCTCCTCCAGCTGCAATCACAGCACAGGCACGAGAGAGCCCAAAGTCTAAGGGTGGCCGGTATACAGGCTGAAGAGGGCCGTGGGTGAGGGTGCTGGATAGCTCCAGCAGTGCAAAACCCACCTTACCCTTGGCTGTCGTTAGGAATCAGGGATGAAGGAGCTTAAACTGAGAAGTGCTGCAGCCGGAGCTGAGAAGCCGACAGACTCAGCCCTGGGGCTGTAGCAGACTCTCCTTCTCTGCTGCGTGGACTCAGAAGGGGCCTACACCGGCAAAGTCTCTAAACTTCCCCTTAACCGTCCATGCTCAGTGCTGCAAAGTACCAAAACCACGAGTCAGCCCTAACCAAAATCATTTGTAAAGTTTGGCAGACAAGGCTCTTTGGGTGAATATGATGTCTTTTATTAGACCAGCTTAAGTAGTTGGAAATTAATTTTTTTATATAGTTTTTGTTATAGAACCTTTTTATAGATACTTTGTAAAGTTTGGGTTTTTCTTATGTGCCTGGAGGGGTTGTATTTCCAAGCTTTGCTCTGAACCCACAGCCTATCATTTCTTTGCTGTGGAAGCCGAGGTGCTCAGCTGATCCCATGCTTCCAGCAGCTGGGGCTTTAGGAGAAATCCCAAATTATTTGCAGCCTGGATGACTGCTATGAGCTAGCACTTCTGCCCCCCTGCCCTTGCACCTGTGAAACCCAGACCGGGTTCTTGTCCGGGTGTGCAGAAGGGTGACGGGGTCTCGGGAGCCTCCAGGCTTGCAAGGGGATGGGAGCCTTCCTGGATGTGGTGGGCAGCGGGGCGGTCAACAGGGAAGGCAATAGAGAAGAATCTCCCCTGGTCTCCTCTTGCTCCCAGCTCTTCATTTGCAGGGCAGGGTTTTTGCCATGATCCCTGCAAGCCCAGGCCTCCCTGCCTCCGCTCTGCTTGATGTTCCAGCTCCTGGATTTCCAAAATCCTCATTGCCCTTCCCCTCCCTACCCCCAATTGTGAGCCTCCCCTTCCCTCTGCACCGCTGTCCGCACCACCATCCTCTTCCAAATTAAAAAAAATATCCAACACCTTCATTTCCTTGGCAACAAATCCCAAAGCAGAGGGATGAAAAGGCTGTGTGCCCCCACCCTGGGGGTTAGTGGTGTTGGCAGGGGATGGTAGTAAAGCCTGTGAAATGGGTGCATCATGGGACAGAGAGAGAGAGAGAGAGAGAGAGGACTTCAGCGCGCATGAGAGGAGGACAGGGAGAGGAGCTGGAGGAAGTCCTTTACTTTGGGTTGTGCCTGTGACACCTTTGGGCAGAGTTTGCTGAGGGGCCAAGGCCATAATACCAAAAGCGCTCAAATCCAACCCGTCTCAGCCTTGCCGAGACTTGCGGTTTTTGGCTAGCATCGTAACGTTTGCTGTTTGACTAAAACCCCAATGGCTGCTCTCTGTTCTCTAACCCTTTTGGTTGCAGGGAAGAGCTGGAAAACTTCGTCCCTACAGGAGGCACCTAAAAAAGTCTCCCCTTTTAAATTTTTTTAATTTCATTTTTAAGACCCTCATGATTTGAGGGGAATGGGGGGG